AATGGCAGACAGCGATGAACACTGGGCTCGGGGGAATATACCGCAGCGTAGACTGAAGGGAAAGGGAGAACTATGGACTGTAGACTGCAATATGGCGGAGGAGAAGGGAACATCGGCTTTCAATACCATTTGCGCTACCATCGCGAGCGAATCTCTGAACCGTGGTACAGATGGCGATATTAACATCAAGCAATGGTGACAATATCCTTTGAATTAATTGCACGGATCGAGTCCTTCTCAATAGGCTGACTGTCGCTCAGCTGCTCAATCAATTTACCGCCTTGCGAGGACTCAGAATTTTCATTTATAATCTCTACAAAACCCACCAAATTCCGGGGAATTTTTAGACACTGCAATATGTGCTGGCATGTTTTTACCGTAAGAGCTGATACACGTAGACCCTGCACAACTCCCAAGCTGGAGGACCACACTTTGTCGGCTGTTTGTGATTCCTTCTTCAGTGCTTTAGCAGTTATCGTCCGTACATCGAAGTGGCAGCCTATTCCATTTGCAGCCCACAAATCGACATGGACATATTCTCAAGTTGAGGGAACAACGAAATGCAAATGCATCTCCTGCTGCTTTTTTGTTCAGTACTTTACTCTCAGCCACAACGCCGGCAGTGACGTGTCCTCTCAGTCACTATTGCAAGTTTCGTCGAAAAGTGGAACATACAGCAAAGTCAGGATAATTCCAATATCATATTTAAGCATCCTGTTACACTCACACAATATATATGAGACAAACTCCGTCTTAAGTGCAACAATTTTATTGTAGTTCTTTCTTCTTCCCTTCCACCACACTACATGTTTCGGCCCTAAATGGCCATCATCAGGTGTGCATTCTTACGTAGCTGCTACACTGTCCGTAGTTTAAAATTTAAAATCACCAGTCTTTCCAATTGTATGTATGTATAAAATCTTTGTTAACCTACATGCGTCAATTTGATTTCTAAAATTTGCACTTTTTTAAAAATTCAATTCAAATTAAAATGTCTATAAATCTTTTCTTTTTCCGAATGTTTAAAAAGTAAAATTTTCTCGGGGTACACGCCCTATGTCTATAGTGCTGCAGCGGCTACTTCTTGTTTTATCGCTGTTGTGTACGCTCTGTGTGTGTGTGTGTCGCTGCTTATCTTTAATACGTGTGCTGTCTGGTGTATTGTCTGCTGTGTGTAGGTTAACAAAGATTTTATAAATACATACAATTGGAAAGACTGGTGATTTTAAATTTTAAACTACGGGCAGTGTAGCAGCTACGTAAGAATACACACCTGATGATGGCCATTTAGGGCCGAAACATGTAGTGTGGAGGAAGGGAAGAAGAAAGAACTACAATAAAATTGTTGCACTTAAGACGGAGTTTGTCTCATATATATCAGGATAATCCGTTTACAGTTAATCCGGTTGTCGGACAATCCGAATCGAAAAATGAAAAAGGCGGTTCACAGTTGAGTACATGCTGTACAATATGCATAGCATTTAGCAAGGCAGATGAGTCATGTATCTGTTCCGGTAAAAGTTGAGACAGTTCCTTCAAACCTGCATTATTACGTTTAAAAACAAGTACAATTTCCGAGTCCTCTGTCGACAAATAAATGCATTATCTTTTTATATTTTTTAAATTAAGGTTGTACAGTGATATTTTTTTTATTCTCATCAGCACTACTTATATCATTACATTTTCCATTTTTTGTTCTAAGTTCTCTTTGGCTCTTATGGCTATCATTTTGATTCACTAATACGGATGTCCTCTCCCTAATTAATTCGGATTAGCGAGGGTTTACTGTAATCACCCTAAAATATCTACACACCAGTGCACTGAATTATGTGCCAAAAGAAACTCGTACCAGTCTGGGCCTTCTTGTTTATTTCTATGGGGCTGAATTACAAGTTACAAATTCATAAACACTAATGTAAAGTTACGAGTATTAACAGAATACTTATTTGAATACCAGTATAAGATCTTTTGTGGGCGTTAAATAATGTAGCATGGTGCACACTATGTATGGGTGGCCGGAGCAATACGTGATAAATCTTTTCTTTCTTTGCCTTCTCAGGAACAGTGATATGATTGCCACGTTGTGTGTACACATTCGTGTTTTCAAATATCTTGGTCTATTCCTACCATCGCAACTCCTCGCGAGTTCATATTCTTGTTTACTTTAATGTAATTATTTTTTTAATTAGTTCTCTGATTAAATTCTGTTACGATCGATATGTTTCCATCTTCTGAACTATTAATTATTGTAATATCCGTTAAAAATTCGAAGGGAAGTCTTACATCAACGGTTTACGTGCGGTTTGAGTTCTCTGTGAGAGCAGATAAACAAGCGTCCATCAATAATCCTAACTAATGGGATAAAACACCATGTAGTCCATTAAAAGTTAGTCGACCTTTCGGTGAAGCATGTCGCCTCCATCCTCAGGATAGAAGAATAAGCCAAGTAAGAAATCAGTATCAGGCAGATTGCAAGCGTTACGTCCCAGAAAGTATCTGTCCATAACAATCTCAGATTTCACAAAGAGATTGGTTTTGTATGTATGGCAGTGTGTAAATGCTACACGGATTGTTACTGGTTTCCGTGTTTCGGTTACCACACGTCGTTAGGTTCGTGTTCAATGGCATCTCGAAGAAACTGAACAAAACTAAGAACTGGAAATCCGATATCTGCAGACGCGACATTCGAACCTTAAGATCAACGCAGAGAGACGTCACCTCCACGACCACATATCGGCTTGACTGCTTTCATATTAGTCAAGATTTTCTTTTCCTGTGGCGCTACAGCCCCAATTTGGGCCTAGGCCTACCTCCATGAAACTCTCCTTTTCACTTCGGTTTACTAAATCTTAAACATTCGGTAGGACTCCTTGAGCGGGTGATCAGCTCGTCGCAAGGCCTCTACATTAGTCAAGATAGACACTTTAAAATATATACATACACGTATATAGTATATAGTAAACCCGGATTGATTGGAGAGACGAAGATGTCATCCAGATAAACAGAAAATCCGGATTAATCAAGCAAAAGATAACTCTGAAAGACAAGAAAGCTCAGAAAACAAATAAACGAGAAATTTAACAAGTATAAGTTAGTACTGTAGTAGTAGTAGTAGTACTGATGAAAAAATATCAATTGAACTATGACCGGGAGTAGTTCATGGAGGTATACCTAGGCCCACTGGGGCTGTAGTACCAAGGAAAAAAAACTATGACCGTGTTCTCCTCTAGTTTGTCTTCTACTGGTTCCTGTCTTCTGATTTACGGCTCTTATATAGCGTCTCGATATCCAAGGAAATGTTGATCACGCGTATCCATGGAAATGTGCTCCGTATCGAGTTGGTTTCCAAGAATCAATCTCTACGGAAACGTGTTTGTCAACAATGGGTCTATATATCACAATATAACAAATTATTTTTAACCACATAACACAGTGAATAAATTAAACCATTAATGCGTTCTATTTATCCCCGACACTGATAGATTGAAAGTTCGTTTACTGATGATCGACTGCTCGAGCAAATGTACCAAACCAATTTCACGCATTCCTTTCGGTTACCCTTGTTCACTTCTTTATTTTAAGAGGGAATTATGCAATTATCATCTTCTTCTCAAACAGAAACTCTTCCAACATAATGTTCACATTGACATAATGTCTCTGAATAGTCGCTCTCTTAGAATTCTGCCAAATCTGAGAGCCTATACCATGACAGTTATTAAAATATGTTCTCTACATTCACAGTAATTTTATCCGACTTGAAGCTAGTAAAGGGAAAACGGTTCTAACACCAATTCACACACGCAAAAAATCGCAAAGACATGATGGCAAATTTGTTGCAATAAACGATGCAGTCCTATAGCAATAGTGTGAAACTGAGCATTACGAACTGCCAGTAGATTACATAGACCAGTGTATATGAGACTGACACTGGGTTTTAAATGCAAATAATTTTTTAAATTTAATGTTGCCTAAAAATATAATTTGGATATTATTTCCAATTGGGTCGCCTTAGATTTTCTTTCGCGGAACTAATTCGCGGGCCGCAACTAACTTGAAGAGGACCCTCTTTGTATTAGTCCGCACACAGTTGCTTCATCTTCCCCTTGCATTCCCGTTGCTACATCCTGTCACGAAGAAATACTGAATTGTTGAATTTGCATGTCACATGCTTTGAATGAGAGCAAATTTAATTATGTGTTAAAAAAGTAATTAAATTATGAAATTAATTTGTAATTCAATATTTCATTATGTATTTTCTCGGACAACAGAACAAACAATCAAACGAAGGCTTGTAGCCTTTTCCATTACGTTTGGATACATGTTGGTTACGCTTGCCAAGACATTACACAGGAACAAAAATTATTTTTCCTTGCGTTTCCTTAAATTGTGGACATATCGAAGAAAAAAGCTTCTAGAAAAAATGTTATATCTTAATAGTATACATAATCGAAAACCACTGGTCCAGTGATTGAGGCTAGCTCTTTCTAAGGGACCCAACTGAATAGGTGTTTTCCTTCACCTGAGGACGGAAACAGATCCAGTTTCCGAAACGTTGTGTTTTTATTTGTTATCTTAAAAACCAGGACGATGGATAAAGTCCAAAATCCCAACATATCAGTGTGTTATACACCATCGTCAGATTCCTATAGTAACTACTTGAAGAAAAAAGTTCAGAACTAAGCATAAACCGTGTACTGATGATGACCCAATACGGGTCGAAACATATCATGTTTTAAAAATTTTAATGCAAATAGTCTATATTTGTGCACTCCTATAAGAAACTGTTGTGCCGACGGGTGTTAAAGTACTTAATAGATATGATAATCCCTATACACGCTCACTTTATTCACTTCGTGTAAGGAGAACTTTGCAAATGCAGTTCTGTCGGCGAGTAACCAAGTGTAACACCGATTCCTTGTGCCCAGGAAGTGGAACGTGCAGTAAAGGTGATATAATGATTGCTGAGAAGCTCACTGTGATCGTGCATTCCTTTGTTCCAGGCCTTGCTCACCTGGACACCGGAAAGGACTTCTCCGCGGATGGCCTCGGCTTTAATAAGAAGAAAAAGAAAAAGAGACGTCACAGGTAAGGAAATTTAAATGTTCAGATTTGTATTACTGAAAATTTCAAACCCTCCTCCTCGAATACCCCTAACGTGCTGGAGAGGCTTGCATGCCTGGAGACCTATACCAGCGGGGGCGTAGACTTCCAGTAGGGCCATCCAAGCTAGAGAGTTCGAAGGGTAGGAAGCCAGACAAAATATATCCCCTGGTCTTCCAGGACGACGCTACATCTTGACGCTAACACCGCCACCTAGGGCAGCAATGTGTGTTAAGGGTCCTCATGACGGACACCGAACAAATAGGAGAACGTGCAGACTGCATGGAGTCTTTTGAGTTCTGAAAGTGAGCAGCTGGACACAAAGGGCAAGTATGAAAGAGGAACACTTCTCAAAGACAGGAGAAGTAGTTTCCTCGTATGAGATTTCTTGGTTTTGGCAAAAGTTAACTGCTGAACTCTGGTGGTACCCACACAAACTGCTTCATCGTGACCTTGACGGTGATCAGTATAAAAGGTAAAGTTATCACTGTAACAGGTCGCAGAGGTCCATAGGGATGTGAGATGTCGAGGCTTCCACATCTTCTAGACAATCGGCTCATAGATGACAGTGAGGTTGTCAGCCTTGTGCCCCGGTCGCCCTTTATTCGCAGGAAGATTCCTGGTACTCATTTTTGTTAGAGGCTGAGTCGACCCCAGCGGTACAGTTGCGGCTGAGAGGATTAGGACAACTTAAAAAATCCAATGACCTCAATGGTAATCGAATCCATGACCTTCCGGCTTGTAGCATAGTGCCTCAACCAACTACGCTACCGCGTGCCCCCTTCCTCTCCTTGTACTCCGTAAAATAATTATGGAATTGTTTGGAAGAATCTGAATTATTTTATACATATATTTCCTTCCTTGTAAATAATGGGCTTTGCAATTTAAGTTGGAACAAGCACAAAGGGCACATTCTTGTTGCTGAAAGCAAATGTGTTTCTTTTCAGGACAATCTTCACGAGCTATCAGCTAGAGGAACTTGAGAAGGCCTTCAAAGAAGCGCATTACCCCGATGTATACGCCCGGGAAATGCTGTCCCTCAAGACGGATCTCCCTGAAGACCGCATACAGGTGAGTGACACGTGAAACTGCGAAAAGTCTGGAGGAGAGGTGATATCCAGATGAGTGATGCAAACAAGAGGGAAAGTGTAGCGAAATACACAGATCAGCCCGGGAATTAGAATGTGACAAGGCCACAAATTAAACATTTTACCGCTGGCGGATGAAAACATTTAGAGATAAGTTACAGAATTCAATTCACAATTCACTTACTTGCTTACTAACCATGGAGGTAAGCCCTTCTGGAGGAGCCGCCAATTCTGCAGCCACTAAAGAATTTCCTAACATTTTATGGAACCCGAAGGTTCATTACAGTGTGTACAAGAGCCCTCCACTGATCCCTATGCTGAGCCAGATCAATCTAGTCCTTACCATCCCATCCTATCTCTCTGAGATCTACTTTAATAGTGTCCACCCACCTATGCCTTGGTCTTTCCAATGGTCTATTTCATTCTGACTTTCCCATCAATAGCCTATACGCATTCCTCGTCTCCCCCATTCGTGCTACATGCCCTGCATACCTCATCCTCCTTGCCGTGATCATTCTAATTATACTCGGAGAAGAGTACAAGCTATGAAGCTCCTCACTGTGCAGTTTTCTCTAACCTCCTGTCACTTCATCCCTCTTCGGTCCAAATAATCTCCTCAGCACCATGTTCTTAAACACCCACAGTCTACCTGTATGTTCCTCCCTTAATGTCAGAGACCAAGTTTCACACCAATACAGAACCACGGGCAAAATTATACTTTCGTATATTCTAATTTTTATGATTTTGGACAGCATACGAGATGACAAAAGGTTCTGGACTGAATGGTAGCAAGTGTTATCCGAGTTCAATCTCGTCTTAATATCCTCCTGAATCAGGTTTCGATCTGTTATCGTTGTTCCCAAATATCTTAACTGTGCCTCATTTTCAAAACATCTGGTTCCTATTTTTATGTCATGATTTTACCCTGCGTTCTGGTGACGAGACAGCAACATATACTTAGTTTTCTCTGTGTTTACTTCTAAACCAACCTACTTACTTTCATCAATTAAAGTTTGTGTGATTCTCTTTATGGTATCTACATTATCACCCAGTAGATTCACAACATCGGCATAGGCCAACAGATGATGTGTCCCGTTTAATTTCAGTCCCACCTGGTTTTTCTGCACCTTTCTAATGGCATATTCTAAAGCAAAGTTGAAAAGGAGTGGTGATAAAGCATCTCCTTGTTTTAGATCACTCTGGATAGGAAATTTATCAGAAAAATATTACCTACACGGACTTTACTATGCGTTTCGTTTAAACATATTTTAATGAACCTAACTAGTTTCACGGGTATCCCGAACTCTATCAGAATATTGTACAATGCTTTCTACCTCACTGAATCATAGGCTTCCTTGAAGTCTATGAATAGCTGATGTACTGTCTCATCGTACTCCCATTTTTTTCTCCAATATCTGACGAATGCAAAAGATCTGATCTGCAGTTGCCGTGTTACGTCGAAACCCACACTGATGATCCCCAATAATTTCATCTATATATGGACTTAACCTTGAAAGAAGAATATTGGATAAAATTTGTATGAAGTTGATAGCAGTGATATCCCCCGATAATTACTACTGTCACTTTTACCACCCTTCTTGTGAACTGGTACAATAATAGACTCTTTCCACTGATCAGGCAATTTTTGATTATGCCAAATAGAAGTAATTAGATTGTGGACCTTGGAACGTAATATTTCGCCTCCTGCTTCAAATTAGTTCTGCCGGAATTTGATCAGTACCTGGCGATTTATACCGTTTCAATTTTGCAATAGCACTTTCAACCTCAAAAGGGCTAGGATCAGGTATTAACGGCTCAGCTGTATGGATTTGTGTCTGCCTAACATCACTGTACCTATGTACATTCAATAACTGAGAGAAGTAGTTCCTCCACCTATTCAAAATGTTGTGGGCATCTGCAAGCAGATCACCATTCTCATCCTTCACTAAGTATGAGTCACGTGTGAGACTAGAACATTGTGGGAAACAAGGAAACTACTAGGACATTGAATCAATTTAAAGTCCGCCATTTATATATGACACTTCCAAGTGTTTTGGGGAAGAGATCCGTTGGGCCTGCACTTGGTTAGGATGGGGAGACAAAATTAACATTCAGAATTTGCGTGAGGAATCAGGTCAGAAAGATGTTTACTTGGAACAGTGAACAGAAGATGGGAGCATAATACTAATACTCTCACGATTTTAATGACTAGCGACGGGGTTTTGGAATGATAATCGGATTTACTGCACACTTATACAACTCGTTACTACACAAATAGCTAAAGGACACACCAAGTCTTCACTATCCGTTATTTGGTAGCGGCTTCCAACGACAGACGTTCCCCTTCCTCTGGGTTCCAGAACTGTCGCCGGTCTCAGCTACTAGCTTCGCATAGCAAGAACACACAAATAAACCCAGCGGATATCTAACTAACTAATGACTAAACACTTATCCTGCTTATAACATCTCGGAATATACTGCGTGGAAAATACCGATGTTATATTGCAGTTGCTGCTGTGGAAATATGTTTGTTTGCAGAACCAATACTTAACAACGGCTGTTGTATAGCTGCCTATTTCGCAACGGGTCTACATGCCACAATATGGATCATAGGCAGAGAGGTCGTGGGAGTGAATAGTAAGGAACTCAGGTGGGCTTTGTTTCTGGTAACTACTGTTTAGTTAGTTGGTTAGTTAATTTCTTTATGTGTTAGTACTCGTATATGGCTGACTGACTAGCTAGCTAGGAATGTAAACAATGGACAATGATGACAGAATGCAAGGAAACCAGTTGAGTCAGGCATGTAAGCTCGCACGAACTTCAAAAGTTAAGTGGCAATGCGACAGAGAGAGAAAGTCGTACGAACATCTGAAAACTGTCTGTGCCTTCTTCTTCAGCCAATTCAGATAATCTGGGTCCAGCGGAAAGAACTCGCCCTTCAAAAGGTGAGATGTAATAGTAGATATGCGGTGGCCCTTACCGATACTGCATGCAAATGCCGAGGTCTTCTTGTCTGGTCGAAACCAATTTGTAACTACGTAAGGGAAAGCTGATTAGAACTTTTGATTCTGTGAGCAGGAGGTGGAAGGACACTGAATGATAAGTGGCTCCACAGCTTATTCTCATGACCAGATATTATGGGGTTGTAACATCGAGGAGGCTGTTAGTCAGCTAGTTTCTTGGGGTGGGATGAGGCTGAGTCCATTTGACACGTCGGCCAGTGCTGGCCTATTGTACCAGCCCCGGATTATATATAATGATGACTGTGGAGCAGTCGCTGGAATAACAATTTGTAGGGGGATCGGAAGTACTCGGAAAAACCTGCCTCAATAACACTTTGTCCCCCACAAATTTAAAATGACATCGCCTGGGATTGAGCCCGGGCCGCCGCGGTGGAAAGCCAGCGACTAACCGCCTGAGCTTGGACACGGTCTCGAGGAGGCTGTAATAAACGGAATGTGTAGCATGCACGTAATAAGAAATGCACAGAAAATTTTTGTCGTAAAGGACCACTTGGTAGACTTAAGGATCGATGAAAAAGTAACATTAAAAATGATTTTAAATAATTTGTATATGGACTACATTCGGTGGGCTCTTGTGGCTGCGGTAATGAACTTTTGGGTTCCGTAAAATGTGAGAAATTTGTTGACTAGCTAAGCAACTGGTAGCTTCCAAAGGAGGCCTGGGACTCATGGAGCGAGTTACAAATATGTGGAGTGAAGGGGGAAGCAGCTTGGACTGCAGAATTCCATTGATTACATGTTGCGTAGAGTGTAAGTGCCCAACTTGCTGCGTAGCCCAGTCCACTTCTCGGATCCGAGACGCCACGCCGAACTCAGCTCTGTAAATAATCCGAAATCTCGGGCCGCTCTTTAAGCAGATCCCTGTTGTTTGTAAGTAATGATTTCTGCGTGCAGCTGGAACACAGATTCGGCGATAATAGGCCTGTTCGATCATGCGCTTTAGAGTCCTTTGTTTCAGCAGCTTCGCCTGACTTTATTGAGCCATACTTTCCTAGTTTACGTCCACAATCCCCCCCTCCGTTCCTCTCCTTCTAATATACGCATGCGCGATATCTCGATGCCTCTGCCTATTCGCGGATGCTGCAGATGAACTGTAAGCTTTACAAGTTGACCCGAGGGCTGAGCTCCCTATATTAGCTGCAAATTTGTAATCTTAAGTTCCCTCGCGACAGAAAGTTTTCCCTGCAGTGCAAGCAAATTATATCAGTGAAAGGCGAAATCACGCCAGACAGATTTCTACAGCGTTTCTTCTGTCAATCAGACATCGCACGCTGGTACGAACTCAAAGTAACTGATACAATTAACAAGCAGTCTAATGAAAGGCAGTAATTTGTATTACACAACTCGTCTGCAAAACCCAGAATCTTAGCCCAAACGTGAACGTGATGCGCCCTCGCATAAACCCATTTCCTTACTTTCAAAGTGGCCCGTATTTCTTTTTGTAATTTCTTGGGGTGCGGTGAGGGGGTTACGCAGTAGCGTAGTGGGTTCAGGCACAGTGCTACGAGCCGGAAGGTCTCTGGTTCGATTCTCCAAGAAGTCACTGGATTTTTCGATTGATCTAATCCTTCCAGCCGCACTATGGTCTTATGTTCGACTCAGCCTCTAACAGAAATGAGTAAAAAGAATCTTCCCGGCGCGTAAGGCTGACCTCACCGCCATCTGTGAGCCCATTGTCTAGAGAATGTGGGAGTCTCGACGTGTCACAATCCGATGGGCCTCCACGACCTGTTAGGGATAGTTTTAACTTTTTTACCTTGTACGTCTGCCACTATTTGACCTATTTTACCAGCCCTGAATAATGAGTGTGTAGGAGTCGCTGAAGTGAGACTTGACCTGGGAAACCGAAGTAGTTGGAGAAATCTTGCCCCAGTGCCACTACGTCCACTACAAATCCCACATGACTTGACCTGGGCTCGAATTCGGGCCCTCGCCGTGGGAAGCCGGCCGGCGACTAACC